CTGTGCCTCAGCAGGTGTGTATTTATTTGGTTAATTATGATTTTTTAACGAGTTTTCTTTAAATCTCTTAAAAGTTACAAATGTACTTTTAAAAATGTTTACTTTTTCAGCTGCTGTCTTTAGAAATGTCATCAAACCGAACAAAACCGATGTTGTTTATGAGGAGGGTTCGAATATTATATTGTGCTCTAAGAGTAGCAGCCCAGTGATACAAAACATGAGACGTGTCACACAAAAACCTGAAGCTCTTTTCACTTTGAAAATATCTAGTGAAAACCACAATCAAAACCCCAATCTATCCAGCTCTTAATGTAATAAAATATGTGGTCACACCTGCGTGAGTCTGAATCAGGTCTGTTAAAAATTCCAAGAGGCATTAAGTGAAATGTATTAAAATAACAAGTTTTTTGTGGCTCCTTTTATAGCCTATACAAATACATTCTCAAAACTATTTCTTAATGCTTGTGATAATGCATTAAAAACAGGGAGATCAGTTAAGTATGATTTGTTGAATGGTGCTGACATTCTCACTCTTATTCAATATTAGCACTTAGTTCAAATTAAGTGTCTTTCAGTATCACTCCTGTTGAGTTCACGGCTCTTCTGACTCTCCAACAGCATCCAGCATCCATTTGATATTATGGCTCAGTCTTCTGGGTTTATTTTCATGGCTTTGCCAGTGACTTTTGAGTTTCTTTTTACATCTCAAATCAAGTCCTTAAAAAAGAAAGATACACGGAGACAGAGACTAAGAGAGCAACTATAAACTGTAGTTGTGATTAATATTTATAATAGATTTAATAGGTAAATAATCTGATAAAAAAGCTACTGAATCCAAGTCTACATGTGCAAAACTATAAATAAGTAAACATTTAAATAAATATGAAATTCAAAAGCGTATTAAGAAAGCCAGTATTGTTAATTACATCAAATCCATACAAAAGTAGCCTATAGTTTAAGTTCTAAAGCATTATCATCTGTAACACATGGTAGGTATAATGTGCCACAAGACGGCAGTGTTCTCAGACATTCATTAGGAACTGCAGCAGAGAACAACAGAATTGAACTTATACAGGTATAATGTGGCTCAGAGAGGAGGGACTCAGTGTTCACAGATCTGACATGATCTAATGTGTTTGACAGAGACTGTGGTTGAAAGGATTCAATCTGACTCTTCTCAGAGTGAACACAATCAGTGGATCTTCATTCAGTTATTCTGTTCTGTGCCTCAGCAGGTGTGTATTTATTTGGTTAATTATGATTTTTTAACGAGTTTTCTTTAAATCTCTTAAAAGTTACAAATGTACTTTTAAAAATGTTTACTTTTTCAGCTGCTGTCTTTAGAAATGTCATCAAACCGAACAAAACCGATGTTGTTTATGAGGAGGGTTCGAATATTATATTGTCCTGTAGTCATTCACCTGAAGCTTCAGATGATCTCCACTGGTACCATCAGTATGAAAGATCAAAACCTGAATTTCTTGTACTCACCTACGGTAGTGCAAAAGAAGTTAAGGTGTCTGATATAGATCCAAGATTCTCTGTTAAAGTTGAAAAAAGGGAACAAATTCATGTGGATCTGGAGATCTCCTCTGCTGCTGTATCAGACTCTGCTCTGTACTACTGTGCTCTGAGGCCCACAGGGACAGGAAACATATCAGCTCTGTACAAAAACCTGTTACAATGAGAGACAGGAGAAAAAAAACAGCAAGAAATAAAGCAAATAAAAATTAAATGATCTCAAATAATTCTCATGTGTAATACAGTATATAGTACATACTGTACATTCACGTGGAATTCCTGCTTGTTACAAATTCTCATTACATTTTATATAAAAACAGCTAGACTATAAACAATAAACATTCTTCAAATTTTCATCAGTCAAAATTGAAAATGATAAATGCAAGTATTTAAGCCATGCCTTTATAAAGCAGGAAGTTCCCTTTCATGTGAACTTCGAACTGCGTCCTCTAGGGGTCGCTATGGGGAACGCCTCGTCGTGACCCGTGTCTGAAGCATACATTGAAAAAACACCAGCTCGTTTGCCGGCGACAGCCATGACGTCACTACCGGTGCGACTATAGTATAAATAGGCGCCGGGAGCACACATCATTCTCTTCTTCGTCTTCATTGACTGTTCTGTTTGAAGCGTGCATTTCCAAGGAAAAAGTAAGAGCTATCTCTATTCATTATGGCGAGCACTAGCAGAGCATTTAGAAGGTGTGTGCATCCGTGTCTTTGCTATTTGACACCAGATGACACACACGATGTATGTGTTGTTTGTTTGGGCGAAGAGCACGCACGCGATGTCCTCGAGGGGGCAATCTGAGTGCATTGCGAGTTTTTTCCAATGAAAAAGCTCCGTTCTCGTTTGTCTCTCTTTTCAAGTAAAGAGGGGCAGACCCCTAGAGGATGCAGTGTCTCATTCCCGAACCATGGTTACATAAGTAACCTGAGACATTTCTGTTTATGTTTTTGACTGATCTGGATGACTTACAGTTCAGAGCACTGAGAGCCTCAACAGATATTTATTTATTTATTATTATTATTGTTATTATTACTATTATTTGTAAAAAGTGCAGAAATAATCACTAAAGAAAGGGAAATAGTCAAATTGAGCTGCTCATATAGTACAATTATATGGCTTTTCTGGTACAGACAGACAGTATCTGAAAAATATTTACTGTAGTACAAAAAGGTGTATTTATTACAAAAAGGTGACGATCATATAGCTATGAACACACCGCTGATCCATGGTTTCAGTCGACTACATCACGCACATCCACGCTCACTATTAAAAATGTAGCTCTACTGTAAAAGTTGAAAAGTTGACATTTCTATTGTTATATACCTGTACATACAATTGTCGATTTGTATATTTTTTATTCCTTATTTTACTTGTTCTATTTTTTTATTTATTTTTATTTTTTATTATCTGTGTTTTTTTGTTCTGTCACTGTCATTCTGTTACACTGTGGAAGCTTCTGTCACGAAAACAAATTCCTCGTATGTGTAAACATACCTGGCAATAAAGCTCATTCTCATTCTCATCCTCATTCTCATTCATTCTCTCTTTCAGATTCAGCTCTCTATTACTGTGCTCTATTAGTAGAAGCCCAGTGATACAAAACATGAGACATGTCGTACAAAAACCTGAAGCTCTTTTAACTTTGCATATATCTAGTTAACAACTATAATCAAAATAATCAAAACTGCTATAATATTGCTATCATTTTAGCTTTTTTCTCAGAGGAAAACACTTTTTAATCTAGTGAAAACAATGTAAGATTGCATAATCTATGATGTTCAACTATTCAGTTAAGATCCTACAGAGTGCAGATCAGAGAACACAGTTGATCAGCCAGACAAACATGTGACTGAAATTGAAGGAAGATCAGTAACATTACATTGTAAATATGAAACAGATTCAGCACAAGATAATTTATTCTGGTACATCCACACTGAAAAAAAAAAGATTAATTAAATGTACTAATTGTTTTTAAGGTAAGTGGTTGCAATCAATTTATTTTAGCTACATTTAAATAAACCAATTTAGTTGACTAACTTTCAACATTATTTTTTTTTTTTAAATGTAGCTAAAATAAAATGTTTGCAACCACTTACCTTAAAAAAAAAAGTAGTATAATTTTTTTCAGTGCAGAGAGTGAATGACTTTCCTAAATACATCCTGAGGAGAAGCAAATATGGAGGAGACAATGGCACTGCATTCCAGGAGAGATTTCATTCTAAACTTTCATCAGATTCAGTTCCACTGACAATCCAGAATCTGTGTGTGTCTGACTCTGCTGTGTACTACTGTGCTCTGAGGCCCACAGTGAGAAAACTCAAGTCAAACCACATAAAAACACAGAGACATAAACACACATGTGATTATTTCTTCACAATAGGCATTTCTGAAATGTAAAAGGTATATTAAAGTCATACTGAAGGTAACATAGTTAAATAAACTACAATAATAATCATGCAATCAATTTTAAATTATCCACCCATCCGTTCCTAATTCTGATTATATAACATAATTGTCTTTACCGTGTCTTTATAACTTTATCACTGCAGCAGTTCGGGAAGTTCTTTACTATTTCAGCATGACAACAACCCTGTGCACAAAGAAAAGTCCATAAAGAATGACAACATTTTAAAAAATATTTGTTTTCACTCTTGTACAGAAAAAAAAAGTTAAAAGTCAGATAGGGAGTTCTCAAATTATTTCAGCTTTTTATCTCTGAGTAGAACACTTTATAATTTAATTAAAACTATGTCATTTCAGAAGTTGGCCACTGTGTTGCATAATTGATGATGTTAGTGGAAACTACTCATTTAAGTTCCTGCTGTATGTGTGTAATGTCTGCAAACAACCGCGTGCTGGTAAACTTCAGACTAATATTGCCTGCTGCACATTCTGTCAACTATGTTAATCTGGCTGAGGAATTTACTTCTAATGGCTGCAGTTCTTGGTAAGTAACTTAACTGTTAAATGTAACACATTTTTATTATCCTTAGATAAGAACATATAAGAACAACATTATTTCTTTCATACACAAGAGGGGAATTAGGGGAAGTCGTGGCCTAATGTTTAGAGAGTCGGACTCGTAACCTAAAGGTTGCGAGTTCGAGTCTTGTACTGGCAGGGGTTGGAGGGGGGGGGAGCTCTCGACTGGATCAAGCAGCAGTGAAAAAGAATTTGAGGAAAGATTTCATGCAGATCTCAACAAATCCTCAAGTTCAGTTTCTCTGTCAATCCAGGATGTGTGTGTGTCTGACTCTGCTGTTTACTACTGTGCTCTGCAGCCCACTGTGACCGAAACACATATACATCCTGATAGGAACTAAGAGCTCTGAAACAGCATGAGCATGTTTTAACTAGAATAAACACACTCCAGCAGTGGGTGGAGCTTATTGTTGAGAGTGTGAGGAGTGAAACAGCTACAGTACAGTTATAAAGATTATATTGTTGTCATCACTGTCTCTGTAAAGATATCATGTTTCTTTTCACCTGTATAATAATCCAATTTTGCATGGGTAAGAGATATTCATTCAATCAATATGCTTATTATGAAAAAAAAAAATCCTTAAATAAAATCCATTTAGCTTTATACAGTGTATAAATGTGTTTTATTGTTTAATTAATTAGGGTCCTTTTCTTTTGCACAGGAAATTCTTTTGGTGACACAATACAACCGTGGTTTCCAGAAAAACATGATTCTGATGGTGAAAATGTTACTCTGTCCTGTAACTACAGTCTTACTAGTGGCACTAATGCTAATATCCAGTGGTATCGCCAGTATCCCGGAGCAAAACCAGAGTTTTTACTTCTTGTCACTGAATATTCTAGCAAATCTGAGCCTGAACTTCGTCTATATTCAGAAGCTAAAAAAGAAATCAAACGTGTGGATCTGGTGATCTTCTCTGCTGCTGTATCAGACTCTGCTCTGTACTACTGTGCTCTGAGGCCCACAGTGACAGGAAACTCAATAAACACTGTACAAAATCCTTCCCTTTTATCTAGTAAAATTACAACACCACACACACACACACACACACACACACACATACAGAGACAAAGACTAAGAGAGCAACTGTATGTAGAGTATTAATAGGTCTGATAAAATAATCTGATAAAAAAACAAACAAAAAAAAAAACAAACAAATATTGAATCCAAATCAACAGGTGCAAAACTGCAAATAAAAATATTAAATCAACTTTACATTTAAAGCTAATATTCTTAATTACATCAAATCCATAGAAAAGTATAGCCTATACGTTTCATGGATCATCATGTGTAACACATTGTGCCACAAGATGGCAGTGTTCTCAGACATTCAATAGAAACTGCAGCAGTGAACAACAGAATTGAACTTACAGAACAGAAGTTATATAGGTATAATGTTGCTCAGAGAGGAGGGACTCAGTGTTCACAGATCTGACATGATGTAATCGTGTTTGACAGAGACTGTGAAACTATTCAGTCCGACTCTTCTCAGAGTAAACACTTGTACAATGGATCTTCATTCAGTTATTCTGTTCTGTGCCTCAACTGGTAAGTATTAATTTGGTTAATTATACATTTTTTATATCTCACTAAAAATTTACAAACATACTCTTACAAATGTTTTCTTTTTCAGCTGCTGTCTTTGGAAATGTAATTAAACCAAACAAAACCAATGTTGTTTATGAGGAGGGTTCAAATGTTACATTATTCTGTAGTCTTTACCCTGGAGCTACAGATAATCTCCACTGGTACCGTCAGTATGAAAGATCAAAACCTGAATTTCTTGTACTCACCTTTGGTAGTGCAAAAGAACCTCAGCGGTCTGATGTTGATCCAAGATTCTCTGTTAAAGTTGAAAAAAGGGAAAAAAACCATGTGGATCTGAAGATCTCCTCTGCTGCTGTATCAGACTCTGCTCTGTACTACTGTGCTCATACAGGAAACACATCAGCTCTCTACAAAAACCTGTTACAATGAGAGAAAAGAGACAAACACAGAGACAGAGATGAAGACAAAGAGAAAGAAGCTGTAACTGACCATTACAATATTATGTGTGTCAGAAAAATAATAGGATGGAAAAATCACAGGTATCTACCAAAATCAAAAGGTAGACCATTTAATCAGTCTATTGGAAAAACTAAATATAATCAAAATGTAACATTCTAAAGTGAGCCAATATTTGGCAATATACAGATGAAGTAATTCCTAGTTGACAAATAAATTTAGAATATCTTCTTTAAAAAAAATCTAATGTAACAAATGTTAAAATATCTCAAATGATTCTCAGTGTAATATACAGCGCAGACAATCACATGGTGCTCTTGCTGGTTCCAAATTCTGATTATAAAAATAGCTATAAATAATAAACAATATAAATAATAAGACTATAAATAATAAATATTGTTCATATTTTCATCAGTCAATATTTCCATGTTTGCTATAAATTAAAAGAAATTAGTCAGAGTGAAAAATGCAAAGACATCGAGAATTTAAGCCAAAAAAAAAAAACCTGAAGCTCTTTGAACCGATAGTGAAAACCACAATCAAAACCAATATCTATTATCCCAGAACGTAATAAAACATGTGGCCACACCTGTCAGAGGTTAAATTAGGCCTGTTATAAAACTTCAAAGAAACATTAAAACACATTCAGGATATCATGTTCCATGTGGTTACTTCAGTACACTAATGCATGTCTTAGGAATAGTTCGCCCAAAAATGAAAATTTTGTCATCATTTACTCACCCTCATATCGTTCCAAACCTGTATGAGTTTCTTTCTTATGTTGAACATTAAAGAAGATTTTTTTGGGGAGGTTTCATTCTATTTCAGCATCACAATACAATACCACTGTAATTTCAGATGCTGGCCACTGTGTTGCATAATGATGTTTGTGGCAACTGTTTATTTAAGATCCTGCTGTGTGTAACTTCTGAAACAATTGTGATTGAAAAACTTATTAGACTAATATTGCCTGCTGTACATAAACTATGTTAATTTGAATAAGGAATTTACTTTTAATGGCTGAATTCCTTGGTAACAAATTTGTATTAGGCCTATAGTTAAAGTTGAGTTTATTTTATAATTTTATCTGCAACTGAAAATCCATGACAACATACAGAAAGAGAAGAACACTGCAACAATTTAATAGTAATATTAATGCTGAAGTCATCTGAGATCATTTTCAAGAACATTCATGACTGAGACGCATGATAGTTCCAGTTGCCTTTGTTTCAAACAAGAGAGTCCGCTCTGGTTTCAGTTACTGTGATGAGCAGACCGATAGGACTATACAGCATTGCTATGGAAATATTAGGAAATATAAGATTGGCACATTTGACCAATCAGTCAAATAATTCAGAGCAGTCTAATAACATACTGTACAGTGTGTTTCAGTGAATAAAGTATATAAGCTAATCAAATACATGGAAGCTATGTTGTAAGATTAATCATTGTACATATAAACACAATTAAGTCATATTGATATATATATATATATATATATATATATATATATAAAAAATACAGTCTTCACTGACACTCACTGTAGCACAGGCTCCTCCCAGCAGTCAGAAAGTGTTTTGAATTTATTGCTGCTTTAACAGACACAGAAAGAAGAAGAGGATCACAACATCTCTTTATATTTTTTAAGAGTTGGTGATTTCAATTGTAGATAATGGCACTGTGGAAAAGTGTCGTTGTGATTATAGTTTAATATATCTGGGGTGAGTAGAACAATTAAATAATGGTTCTTTTTCATTATGTGTGAATGTGCATATTTTTTTGCAGCCAATGAGAACATTTTTATTCATAATGTTTTTATTCAATTTCAGGATGTAATTCTCAAGACAAAGTTGATCAGCACACAAGGATTCAGTTTGCTTTTGAAGGTGATACTGTAACGATCGACTGTACATATCAGACTGCTTATGCAAACCCGACTCTCTTCTGGTACCAGCAGAAAGACAATGGAATCCTCAAGCACATGCTAAATAAATCCGCTAAATCTGGAAACAGTGAGGAAGAATTCAAGGAGAGATTTCATGTGTCTCTCAACAAAACTGCAGTTCCACTGACAATCCAGGATGTGCGTGTGTCTGACTCTGCTGTGTACTACTGTGCTCTGAAGCCCACAGTGACTAAAACACACTCAACACTCACACAAAAACTCTGACAATGCAACAGCATACATTACATCATTATGCAATTAAATTTGTTCGTCTTAGTCTATGAATTCATTTATAAAACCCCTTTCATCTATAAATATATTCTATTTTAGTAGGTTTCTTTCACTTAAAATTTACATTCAGTTTACATGATCTAATTTTAGTTTACAGTTTAGTTACATTTATATTTTTATTAATTTTATCTTACTGTTGGTTTCGGGTGATTTTATACTGTTTATGCGACTAAAATAATCACTATAATTATGGCTAAAATCTATCTTTTGAATGTATACGCATGTGCAAAAATGTGATTGTAGTGTGATTTACTGAGGTTTGCGGTAGTCAATTTCCTGATATTTGAACCATTAAGGGCCCCCCAAAAAATATGTCTTAACCAATTTTGAATTTGACATGGCTGTGATAGTTGCTCATTTGTGCTGGTCTTGGTTGCATTGGCCATTATGGAAATGCACTGGCTGTGTCTGTGTTCTTCAATTTGCACATTGTCAGTAGATCACCCGCTGAATTTTCAAGACCCATTTGTGCTTTTATGGGATTGCAGTCTCATGCCCTGTTATATCTTTTACCCTGTTTAGTATATCTGGCCCAAAATATTCCTCATATTTGCATTATATTTCCTGCTTATGGTAAGCTCTTTACAAATCAATGCGCTAAGGAATGATGAGTCAGAGACAAATTTGGCTCATAAACAAACAGACAAACAAAAAATAGTGCAGATCTTTTATTACATTAAAAGACATGTTTACTTGTACATACACTACAGTCTGTCTATTATGTCCCATTGCCTTTATGCCATCTTGAACTCTCTCCATTTGCACTGTTTTCCCTAAATATCTCTTTTTGCACTGTCCTTCCACACAACTGCACAGTGTTATGGATTGTATTTGTTTAAAGTATATGTAAAGTATATAGATTACTTCTTTTAATAGTTGAGCTATGTGTAAGTTTATATATGTTTATAAATCTTGCACCTTGGTCCTGTGAGGCACAACATTTAGTTCCTGGGGAATTACAATAAACTTGACTTGAATTAAGCTTGTAATCCCAATTACACAATATACTTGTAGTTAACCAGAAGAGAGCAGTAGGTACTCAATATTACATTTGACAGTACAGCAGCTTTTATAGGTCTCCACAAGCTCCTCCTTGGATCATCATTATAGCACCAAAAGCAAAACTCTCGTATCAGTGTTCATTGTCACTGACTGTAGCACAGGCTCCTCCCAGCAGTCAGACAAAGTGATCTGAATTTATTGCTGCTTTAACAGATGCAGAAAGAGGAAGAGAATCATCACATGCATC